AAAAGAAATCAGTCATGCCTGGAAAGAAAGAGCTCACAAAACCATCATTTTTATCCTTTGGGATAATTCACACTTTGTGAATGTGGCCCCACATATCAAGCTGGGGTTTGCTTAAATATGAATATAATTATTTGTCTGCTGTCAAGTCTTAAGGCTTAATTATGATGCAAGTGTATGGTCCCTCATTGAGATTCAGAATATGCATGCAATCTGATGAATAGTTATCTCCAAGGCTTCAACAAAACATCTCTGTCTTCATGGGATCAGAAAATCTTAGGTTAGAAGGGACAACAGGGGCAATCGCATCCAACTCCCAGCCATGTAGAAATACACAATTAAAGCATTCCTGAATGATGCCCATCCAACTTTAAGGTCCTCCAAAAATGGACAGTCCACCATCCTTTGTGGCAATCTGTTCCACTGTTGACAGGTCTTACAACCAAGATGTCCTTCCTACTGTTTAGCTGCAATCTTTCGTTCTTGTAATTTGAATCTATTGGCTCATGTTGAACCAATGGTGAATGCCTCACTGCAGCAAGGGAGGCTTCTATCCTGCCAAAAGGAGGCTGTGGTGAGGCCGTTATGGAAAAAGGTCTCCCTGGATCCCACCATTCTGAAGAGCTATCAGCCAGTCTCTAATATTCCATTATTGGGCAAGGTTCTCAAGCGAGTGGTGGCCTCCAGGGGATTCTGGATGAAATGCATAATCTAGATCCATTTTAGTCTGGCTTCAGACTTGGCTATGGAACTGAGAAAGCTTTGGTTGCCTGGTGGATGACCTATGCAGAAAACTGGACAGAGGGAGTGTGTCCCTGTTGGTCCTGCTGGACCTTTCAGTGGGGGCTTTTGATACCATTGACCATAGAATCTTTCTGGGCCACCTCTCTGAGATGGGATGTAGAGGCACTGTTCTGCAGTGATTCTGGTCATTCTTGGGGGAGTGAACTCAGGAGGTGGTGCTGAGGGACTTCTTTTTGACTGCCTTGCCATTGGCATGTGGAGTGCCACAACGTTCTGTTTTGACTCCCATGTTATTCAACATCTACATGAAACCACTGGGGGAGATCATCCAAAGTTATGGGGTGTCGTGCCATCAGTATGCAGATGACACCCAACTCTATCTCTTCTTTGTATCTGATACCATGGAAGCTATCTCTGTGTTGAACCAGTCTCTGTTGTCAGTAATGGACTGGATGAAGGCAAACAAATTGAAACTTAATCCAGATTAAAAAAAATGGTTCACCTGGTCAGTACGAGGAATAGGGGCATTGCCTCTACTGGATGGGGTTACACTCCTCCTGAAATCTCAGTCTCGAAGCCTGGATATCCAGGTTTCAGCAGTGGCCAAGGGTGCATTTGTACAGTTAAAACTAGTATGCCATCTGTACCCATTCTTTGAGATGTCTGCCCTGGCTTCCATGATATATGCTTTGATTACATCCCATTTGGACTACTGTAATATACTCTACGTGGGGCTGCCTTTGGACACTATTCATAAACTTCAGTGGGTTCAAAATCTGGCAGCCAGAATGCTAACTGGAGCCAATTATAGGGAGCATATCCCTGCCTTTTTGAAATGGTTTCACTGGCTACCAGTTCATTTCTGGACACAATTCAAAGTGTTGGCCATGACCTATAAGACCCAATATGTCTGAACTATTTGAAAGGCCATATCTCCCCATAAGAATCTGTCTGAGCTTAAAGCTCACTGGGGAAGGCTTTTTCTTGGTCCTACCAGCATCACAGGTTCACATGGTGAGGAGATGAAAGAGAGCTTTCTCAGTGGCTGCTCCCACCCTCTGAAAATCCCTTCCATGAGAGACCCCCCTCCCTGCTTTCTTTTCACCAGCAAGGAAAAACATTCCTATTAAAGCAAACATTTTAATAATAATAATAATAATAATAATAATAATAATAATAATAATAATAATTTTTATTTCTAGCCTGCCCCACTGTTCATCAGTCGGGGTGGGTTACAGCATAATTAAAACACAAAGAAGTTAAAACATCT